ATGAGGGCTGAATGATAATAGGAGAGAGAGGGGAGATGGGAAGAGGGGGGTAGGGGGAGAGCGCGAGAGTACGCGTCTATGAGGGTTGAATGATAAATGGATAAAGAAAGATACATAGATAGGTAGAGAGAGAAATGGAGAGAAAGAGAAAGATATATATAGAGAGAGGGAGAGAGAGAGGGAGAGAAAGAGAGAGAGAGAGCGAGAGAGGGAGAAAGAAAGAGAGAGAGAGATAGAGAGAGCGCGAGAGAGAGAGAGCGAGGGGGGGCGCGCGTCGACGTCTTGTATGGAATTTCGACACTTAATTTTTCGATTTTTCGATGAAAGTGGTCCAGCTTGTATATAGGCTATACATCACTCATTTTTGGGCGATCCCCCTATTATTTGCAAGAATCTTCTTCTTCTTTACCTTTTCTTGCAAATGATGGGGAGGGGGTGACCCCCCCACCCCACTCATCATTTGCAAGACATTTGCAAGATGTTTCTTTTTCTTTTTCTTTTCTTTTTCTTTTTCTTCTTCTTCTTTCCTTTCTCTTGCAAATGATAGGGAAAGGGGGGCGACCGCCCCCCTGCCCCCCCTGTGGCGCCGCCCCCTGAATGTACACCCTATCTCAGGTGAGCTCTCATTCCAACCATAGTGACGTTAGTGTACAGGGGCGGATTCAGACCGTATTTGCCGTATTGGGAAATACGGTCTAGATTTCAAGGTGCCCTTCGAAATTTTGCGCTAAAAAATACAGAAAACAATTTGATGGAATTTGGCTATATTCTTTATTTGTTTTCTTTTTCTTCTGATTCATTGACAGGACTTGAAGGAAATCAAAATTTTACATAGACTATTAAAAGACTAGCTTTGATATCTGAAAAAGAAGGGAAGTGCTTGAATCATTCTGCATTAATTGCTGGTATGCAAAGCGCAGGCAAAATGAAGCACAAATAAAATTCCATATCGTTTTTAGCTATTGCTGCTTGACTAAATGTTGGCTCAAATGGTGCTCATTTTTGTGCCCAGGAACCCTTGAAATTTTGAGATTTCCTGGGGGAGGCCCCCCAGACCCACCGCCATGTGCTTCCACGCCGAACGGCGCCAATGTGGGGTGGTGTGCCCTTTTTGGGGGATGTGCCCTTAAAATCTGGAATGAATCCATTTATTATTCTTGGAATTTTTTATTCTAAATTGATTTTTATTCGCTGATCGCAACACATAAAGCAGTGAAATGCAACTAAAAGCAAACGATCAAATAATTTCACACAAAAACACACTTTATTACCGACATATTACAGTATAAACCGGCTAACAATACATATTGCACTTTATAACATAGCTTCACAATCGTTCTATGTTCAATTTAAATAATTCATTATACATATTCAAGCCATTAATAATAATTTCTTAGATAAACTGAAATATAAAATGCATAACACAATATGTATATGCGTATTTCTGGGTAAGGAGGGCAATATGCAGGAAAAGTCAGAGTAAGACAATGCAATTAGAAATTCGTGTGTCGCCAGTAATGAGTAAAACCGCATCAGGTGCTTCTATCCTTTATCTTGCACAGACAGGTGTTTTCAGTCTCATCACACTCACAGTATTGCGAGCACGATTCCCCACCTGCAGAACGAGCTCTGTGGCGACACCTGGTGGTGATGACTGGACTTCGTACACAGGCGTCGAGTGTAAAAACTATTACACACAGCGCGCAGGGACGTGGTGCACGTGAGTGCGATACACGGTAGCGCGAAGAGACGCATGCAGAATTTTCCATGGAGTTTTGTAGTTTTAGATTCACGCTCATCACAGAATAGGGTCATATGCCATCGACTCCACCCACCTATACAAAATGACTTGGCAACATCGGTACATGCTGCCACACAGTCCTAGAGGGAGCAGTGACTCCTATTGGAAAAATGGCTTCACATAAAATGCCTTCCCTAGCTGTAAGGCTTTTTATATATTACGAGTCGGCTCGTACGTACGTGGATTCACGAGTAAAGACAAGTGTTTATACAAACAAGGCATTCCAACTGCAGGCGAATGTATTTATACATATTATAAATTACGTAAATATATAACACGGTTAGATTGTCACATCACGCTAGTTTACATACAAACTGCAAGACCATAAATAGTAATACATTTACAAAAGCAACCGGTCTAGAAACCCTGTGTGTACACTAACATGCTGGAACAGGGGTCTGAAAATCCCCCTTGCTGCCAAAATGAACGCGGATACCTTTCGAATAAACGTTTAATGTTTATTCTACCTTTCGCGTTCCACGTATACGTAGTAACAACAAGAACGTATTAGATCGTGTTCCCCAGGCACATTAAAGGCGTACGCTCCAAGAACACCAACGAGAGAACATCACCAGATTGGACACACCTAGACGCAGCGGTGAAGTCTGCACACGCCTATATTCGTCGATCTATCGACGAGTACCCCCGCTGTATCACCTTACCATTCGTCTGCACACCTAGCGTAGGAGTAGCGTCACACCCATCCCCTGGCTCACAATGTGGCCGATAGTTTATTTTGAGTAAAGATTTCAAAAAATAATTAAAAGTCAGGCAACCCCTCCCTCCTTAACTGCCACAGACGTGGCGTCTTCACAACGGATTCAAGATAATTTCCAACTGCCGCCACCTCTGCAGATGGCCAGCTGTCATGTAAAGGCAACAACTCAACAGTCGACAATTTGTAGCAGAATAGAATAGCATATCACAAAACAGAGTAAACGTACTAAAATTCCTCCAACGGTTTACATATTTAATTATATCATGATTCAACAGATGGGTACGCAGCTACAATATAACAAACAAAAATGGATTCAACAAAATCGATTTCTCTCTGTGCTGAAATACTTTACCTTTCACCCTTCCGCACACTCTCACATGCACAATCATTCTACACCTTTTTTTCTGACATCTCTCATCCTCTCTCCACACGCGTGCATTAACTTTCCGGTGACTTGTTCATAATAAAACGTTAAATGGCTAAAAGTTTAAAATATTGTCCAAACCAATGACTAGGTTCTGATGCCACCATCAGATTAAAAAAAACTTCCAGGTTGTCAAATTCGCTATTGCACGAAGATTAGAAAGTCTGACGGGGTGGGAGATACCTGCTCTAAAGAACGGGGTGGGCCGGTGAAGTATACAGACTGTATATTTGACACGGGAGAAAGCAAGTATGTGTGCACGCAGTAGTAAATACTAATCGTTAAGTAACTGCCGTCACAATTGGCCGTCACGCTACACTGATTGTAATAAACCTATAGTTTCATTTAACTTGTGTGAAATAAAACAGATAGACGTTGTGGGCGGGGAGGGTGGGAAAACCAGCTTCCCAGTAACTAATATGCCTTTTGGTCATTGCTGCTACAGTGACGTATTGCTTGTTCATAACAGTTCACTGTAAGTCGCCCTGTTAGACAGCAGGTGATAGATAACGTGCAGATGTTGAGGCATCAGACTGTACTGCCTGGCTGACCATGCAGCGCTCTGACTACGCACGCGCATAGGTATGCAGCCTGCACACACGCATGCACGCACACACGCACGCTTGCACGCAGCTACACACATAAGTATACCCACACGTATACACACGCACGCACGCACACACACCCACACTGGAACGTACTTAGAAAGGCACGCATGCAAGCTACCCAGAGGCACAAGCCCACAAACGCATGCCCCACACGGACACATGCACGTACACACCCACGCATGCACGCACGTACACACGCACGCACACGTGCAAATGCATAGGCGTCCCACTCCTACATGGCTTTGTCCTGTCCATGCATGCTCGCACACGTCAACACCCACTACATACGCACACACCTCAGTTATGCCCCTGCATTCATCCATTACACACCTCAGTTCTTCCCTCGCGTTGATTTCTCACAATTTCCTCGGTTACTAGCTGACAGAAGCAGCGTACCTATTGCTGATAGCGTGTGCCAGCTTGCGACATGCGCGACACTGACAAAGCCGATGGGCCACAGTCAGCGCGACTCCCTGCTATGCGCCGCAGTAAAGGCTTCCACACCTCATGACGTCGTCCCACTCCAGACTTCATGCTTACTGGCCTCTAACGGATAAGTCTAAGTCTTCGACGGCAGAGATGCGAAGTTCTGCGGCAGTTCTGGGCGCGGCACCGGGCTGACGCGACGTTTCCCGCCGCAGTCACGACAAACGATTATTCCCCCGGCCAAGTGGGACTCTGCGCCATCTTCTCTTCATCCCGTTGCCGTGACGACGGCGATCGGTGACGGCGCACAGCACCTGGTGGTGGATTGCCGATCGCGGCGGAGCCAGCTCCGCTCTCTGATCCCAGCAAAGAGTGCTGCCCCGTGTGTCGAGCACAGACGCACCAGGCACCCTCTGGTGGGGGGCGCGGAGAACCCTCAGGTCGACGACGCCGGCCGGTGTGCATGACGTCAGTTTCCGTTGCTGCTGTTACGCAGCAGCGGAGGCTTTGAGTGGCCGTCCGGCACGCTGGGATCGGCTGACCCGTAGACTCGACTCGCTTTCTTTGCCATGCTGGTAAGCATCTCCTCGGAAAGCTTATTCGTTGAGATCAGTGTGTTCTTCCACTCCTTCATTCCGACTTCGTCCTGAAAGAAAACCGAGCAAAGAGCATGTTTTGAGTTTAGAGTCCGAGTTGTCAACTTTGATGTCAAGAGTTTGAGTTGTCCGCAAAGAGTTCTCTCTCTCTCTCCCTCTCCCTCTCCCTCTCACTCTCACTCTCACTCTCACTCTCACTCTCTCCCTCTCTCCCTCTCTCCCCCTCCCCCTCCCACTCCCACTCCCACTCCCACTCCCACTCCCACTCCCACTCCCACTCCCACTACCACTACCACTACCACTACCACTACCACTACCACTACCACTACCACTACCACTACCACTACCACTACCACTATAGATCACGCTCAAGGGCACCGTGACGTA